CTGGGTCACATAGGTCCTGTTAGGCTCCCTGGCTGGGGACCCCGGGATGATCGTAACCGACAGTTAGAGACATTGAGTGATATTGCTGGGTGTCGTAAACAGTGGCGTTCGTGCATCTCCTCAATTTCTTTGCAGCCTTAGACCACTGAACGTCTCGATTTTCTTTTCGACTCCACTTTCAACTTTCCTTTCTTCTCCGAAAGACAGCAACCAAAACCGGCGCACGAATATGCGTGGTTAATGGTTGTTCAAACTGAAAGTGAAGCTGAACCCCCTTTTGCTGTAAATTAATTCGTGTGTAATAAAAAGTTTGCAGGTGGCTGGACATCTGGAAGTATCGCTTCAGGGATGATAGGAGAGGAGTTTTACATGCTACCGCTATTTCCACTAGCCTCCCTTGTTGCTCACCTTTTCCTTCCATCTGGGACACAACTAGCTGTCCTATTTCATTCCCCTTCCCTTTTCCTCACATTTATTAATCCATCTATAGGGGGCAAACTGAAGGAGGCCAACACACCTCCAAAGGAAAGGATGAGACGGTGACATCTTCTATTTTTGGTACAATAAGACGCAACACCCTAAATCATACGGGGCGCAAGAGTCAGTGGTTGCCCTCCGTGTCCAACCAACACTGCAAACAGGGAATGAACCACAAATAGTGGTTCATATGGGGGAAAAGCAATGCATCCGCCATGCTGCCCCTAAATGATGTTTATACATATATGTGGTTAATTACCAGTTCAACCCCGAGAGCAATACAAAAATGGAAGGTTCCCGTGCTAGCTAACGATTGTTGCCAATAAGCCAAATCTTTCTCAATTGTGGGGTGCCCGGCTCCCAAATAAACTCCTGTCTCCCAATCCATTCCTTTCTCTTATCCCACTAGAGTGACTGATGAGGAAGTATGTATGACTCCTCCACAGTGATGCTATAACGGCTCTAGACACACTCCTCGACTGGCCTTTATCTGATTGGACCAGAATTCCACCTTAAAGCGTGTGAGAACTTCAATCCGAGGTAATGTCTAAGTGCAGTCCATAGCAGAAAACAACATAGGAGCAAGACCAGTGCTCCTCCTGAGCGATCGACCAGCAACCGATACCACATAGTGGAGACACGCCTCTCTAGTTCTTCCACTGGGATAGTACGGATGTTTACCTGCATAAACCAAGGGATGCACATGCGCATGTGCTTCCGTGCATGCGATGGTATGGATGAGTGTATGATTGTATGTACTCACGTACGGGTACGCTGTATGCAAGCATTGGAGTACAGCCTAATAATAGGCATGAGTGTATGGTACTATGTATGCATGAGTATAATAAATTAATAAGATTGAATCGAGCCACCCGTGTACTACACACGGGTTCGTTCCCTACCATCCCAATCAATGTAATTTTGCCAAACATCTCTGCGTACCGAACGTGAAATAAAGAAATAACATTAGCAGTCGGCAATAATGATGACGCTCCTCGGAACGTGAAACCTACAAACCACTGGTAGCCTTCCCACAAAGCCCCTAATAGGGATCAACATGGGTGTCAATTGCTTTTCACTTGATATATTACAATGTGCCTCTATTCCTTCCCTTCGCAGCTAGACCCCATCCAGACTGTTTTCTTTCTCCAGTTCATACCAGTCCTTTTCAGACACACCTACCCGGCCTCAACGTGATCCTGTTGAGGATAAAACCCACGGGAAATATAATTTCGAAAGCTGTCGAAGCGCGTCGAGAACATTGAAGCTCGATTGCGTAAGAAACTGGACTCTCGTTAGCCCCAGCCGCCAATTTTGTGAACTGACCTGACCTGACCTGATATCATTTCTGGTATGTCACTCGTTTTTGTGAATCGAACCCGGTTGTAGCCCCGGATGTCTGTCGTCCTCACTTTGGTGGGAAACCATCTCCGCCACGAAGAGGCAGCGAGTGGGGCTATCTCAGCAGAAGCTTTTGGAGACGCTTGGTCGTATGGAAGCATTTTGCCAGATGCAAGGGAAGGGTGACCAGCCACAACCCTAGACACCTACCCCCGACCATACTAAGGCTTTCTGAGGCTAGATGGAGCATAGAGGGAGCCTATGATTGAAGCTGGTGACAAAAAGCCGCGACCACTTCTTCAAGCGGTTCATTCCATGAATCAACGATGTGGCTAATGAAGAAATGAGCGCCGGTCTCCTAATATAGACCTTCGCCAATTCGAATTGGCGTCTGTCATGTATTGGAACTCCAGTTTATTTTAAAATTTTCGTAGTATTATGCATTATACGCGTTTTATGTGCATTCATATCGAATCCCTTTCCTATTGTAGTAATATACTCCATTATTGAGTTGATTAAAGCATACGATTCGGCCTGCTCCTTCTGTTGTACTCAAAGCATCTCATTGATTGGTAATTTACTGCAATTTAATCCGCTGAAATTTATACAATGAACAAATTTCCCCCGAACTGAGAGGTTCTACCTTGATCCTCAGTCGTCTGATGCAGGGGAGCACTGAACTCATTGGTATCGGAACTTCACAACTTTTCCTCTCCATTATTGAATCAATCAATCCCGATAAGTTAAATACGATCAAAAAGCTCTTTTGATCCGTCGACACACAACACATTTGGGATTATGAAACCTTCGATGACGCTATCCAAATTCTGAGAAAGCGGTACGTTAAACAGAAGAGTGAAATCTTAGTGCGGCACGTTCTCCCTACCGTGGTTCAACAAAATGGACAGTTTCTAGATCAGTTTCTACAACTATTGATGAATCTCGTTACGAACTGTGGATGCAGACCGGTTTCACTGGAAGAATATCGCGATGAATTGGTTAGAGATGCTTTTATACGTGGTATACAATCTAGTCACATGGGCCAGAGGCTGCTTGAGGAACAAACTCTCCACCTCCAAAACGCCGTCGATTTAGCCAGACAATTAGATACAGCACAGAAACGAGCTGTATCGTACCGAGATCGGGGTAACAGTGTATATCGGTGTTTGTCCACCAATCCAGTACAGCCGGCGGTAGAAACCAAGATGCCATGATGTGGGAATCATAGAACCGTGGAGGTCTCCTTGGCGGGCCCAGGTCTTAGTAACTCCTAATGAAAGACAAAAGAAACGTATAATCGTGGATTACAGTCAAACCGTAAATGGATTCACGTACCTCAGTGCTTATTCGTTCCCCTGCATGGATTACTTCATTGAGCAGATTGCGCGTTTTGATGTATTCAGTACCCCAGACCTGAAAAGTACCTACCATCAAATACCCGTCCAAACAGAAGAGAAGAAATACGCCACTTTTGAGGCTTGTGGGAAACTGTATCAGTTCCGCCGCATCCCATTCGGAGTGACCAATGGAGTAGCATGTTTTCAGCGAATTCTGGGGTGGCTTTTTGCGCAGTGGTTTAGTCGCTGTGGCCGGCATGCTTTAGACTCTATGGTCCGAGATTCGAGCCCCACCACCATCGCCCAACTTTGGTGGTAGGCAGCTTGGCTATCATGCGGTTCAATACCACGTCTAACCTAGCGGGGCTTCATGTGGTTGGGCACTGCGAATCCCGCAGGGCTTAGGTTGCCGGTTTCCACCACTAAAAAAGCAGCCGGTTCTTGTGACTGTGGGGTTCGCCCCGTCTGCTGTTCATCACAATTAGGTGTGTAATAAAAGAAAATGGATTTCCGCAGAAGAAACACTCTTCCTGCGAGCTGCACAATGCCGGCTATCATCCTAAAATCACATGGAGCCGGGCAAAGGCGCGGAAGATGGGTTCCAACAAAACAGGATGGTGTCACCATAAGTCGGCCACGGCTCCAGGAACTACATAGCACAAAGGACCGCAACTTTCTGCCATCCAAGACGTCAGTCATCGCAAACACAGTGACTGGCATTAAAATCGAAGTAGAGGGCCGCACTTGCAAAGTGGCTATCCCGACACCTCAGTACACCTTGGACTCCGCGGTGGAAACCTCCCAAGAAACCCCACTGCCACTATAGGGAACCCCGTCCCTGGACCATATTCTAAAAAAACGAAGAAAATCTTCTGAGAATTACTCCAATGAAAAAATGACCATCATACAGCGCAACCACCTACAGATTCTCTCCTGTGTGCGGATAAAAATTTGCAGTATCCTAAACAAACCGATGTCCAAGTGGGATTTGCCGCTAGTGTATCAGCTAGAGATACTTTCTTGCCTTCTCGGAAACAGGCTCACTCTGTATTCGTAGAATACATTTGAACTTTGTATGCATTTTGCCCTTTGAACCGGTCGACAGACTTTGCGGTATTTCACTATACGATAACAACGACGGCGATGATGATAATGATGATGGTTGTGTTAATCGAAGTTAAGATAATTTTTTCTGGTTTTCAGCCTTAGATTAACATTCCAATTCAAATGTTGCAGCAGCAAAACAGTGCCCTGGGATTAAATCGATTATTCTCTCGGGAACGTCAGCAACAGTTGTATCTGCCGTCGGGCACATGGATGTTTGTAAAGTATCTGAATGGATTACAGTTTTTGGGTTTCTTCTGTGCCTTTTTCGGGCTGATTAACTGTTTTCTGGGTAAGTACATGCCCCCAGATTTCTAAATTCTTTCTTCCACGCAGGCATTTTGGATGTGGTCATTGTTCCAGCGTTCTACTCGCCCCCATCTAATCAGTTTCCAATCCGACTGACACTGGCCAATGCCTACGGATTTCCCATTTACAGTGGTATTCTGGTAAGTGATATCCTGTTTAGCTCCTCATCGTTCACCTCAGATTATCGTAGCTGGTGCGCTGGCTCTTCGAACGGTCATCAGTCAGCGCTTTTCTTCGGTAAGTCCCACTCAGGTCGAGTTTTGTCGATCAAATACACCTTTTTATGATCCTTCTAAATCTCTTAGGAGTGTGGCTCTGAGCTGGGGGAGAGGGGCTTTGCTGTACGCGGAGTTTTGCGCTCGGGGGAAAAACACTTCCCGGCATTTTCCATCAAGTTGTTTCAGTTTCATTTTATACAACCATCAGCTGTGCACCTTCATGTTGCGGATTTGGTCGCTCTCTAAGCTGCTCATTTGGATGCGCAATACATATCACGAACAGCGTAATCTAAGCAAGTCGACCACTTAACCCAGTGGCAGTTACCCAAATCTCTACACTTAACCTCGGCATTGCATGCCCGGTTACCTTGTCAAGCTCCTGCCATGCGCCGTAGACGTCGGTACTTGAACACTATTGGTCTATATTTAGCCTGTTCTCGTAGTAGACAAGTCTATGCAACGTGAAGCAGCACTGGCCCAATGGCTACGGCATACAGTCGACTCGTCACAGACAGATGAATATGGAGACAGTGCTTCAAGTTGATAAAAGTCAAACCAGCCTTCTGTATGCATACCGAAACTACCATGTGAGGTGTGGCAGCCCAGATTGCATGTACTGTAATATTTGTCCACTTTCTGTATTAATTCCTCAGGTGGAGTCAGATTGGGAGCTAAACTAACCCAGTCCTGTAACAACATTTTACACACTGAAGAGTCGAGTGTATACTGCAGCAGTTCGGCTAGTCCTGCTCTGCGGTGCAGAGACTTGGCCTTTACGGGAACAGGATAAAAATAGATTATCGGTGTTCGAATACCGTCGCATTGCATGAGTCTGGTGGGGTAACCAGATGAGCAATGCTGAGGTTAGGCGTAGAGTCTTAGGCATCCGCCGTCGTCCACTGGAGCAGGTGGTCGACCTGCATAGATTACGTTGGTTGGGGCATGTGTTACGCATGTCACCAGATAGGTTGCCACGTGGAGCGATGTTTTCCAAGGCTGGCAGCGGTTGGAAAAAGATCAAGGATGGTCAAACTTAGACCTGGTATGAGGGTATGAAAATCCTAACCAGGAAACTGGGTCACATAGGTCCCGTTAGGCTCCCTGGCTGAGGACCTCGGGATGATGGTCACCGGCGTTTAGTGACACTGAGTGATATGGCTGGGTGTCGCAAACAGTGGCGTTCGTGCATCCACTCATTATTCTCCTATCACTATTCTATATGAATTCTGCATCTTCCGCTTGAATTCGCTTTCAACATTCCAATCTTCATTCTGCTCTTTTATCCAAATGTGGCACCAAAAGACAGCAACCAAAACCGGCGCACGAAAGTGTACATGGTTAATGGTTTTGAAAACTGAATTGAACTGACTTGGTAGACAAAACTCATGCCGAACATAGCTAAATCAGCACTCAGGCTATCCAGAAAATCTTAAAACTCATTTGAATCTCCTCTTAGCAGTACAATGTCGTCTACGTACTGCAGATCAGGTACCTGGGAGATGATCAATAACACCCATCACGATGAGACTGCACCTGGACGTGGAGTAATGACTTGTTCATCTCTGTGACACAACGGGCTACACCGTTTGGCCGAAGATCTAACCAGCCTGTTATGTCAAAGGGTAGAAGTCACACAATGTCCAGTTACCTGGTCCTCCGTGTTGGGGGTTCTATCCGAATTGGCGACCCAATCGGTAAAAATAATAGAAGAGTAAATGATCCAAGCAGGTGGGCCTCCGCTTCGTCTTACCCGCCGCTTTTCGACCAGGTTCTTTTAAGAACTTAGGGCTTTGGTTGAGAGCTCTAATCTTTCTCCTTTTTTCTTATGCCCCGGGACTTGGAGCAGCGAAGTTGGTCCGTTTGAAGGACCACAAGGTTCTTGGTGCTAATTTATAAGAGGACCAATGCAGGATAAGGTCAATGCTCAAAGGTTAGTGGCCGCTCTTGCCAAGTGGGCAGAGAGTGCGGACCTCGCCGATTTGGTGCCGATTGTTCGTTATCACCAAATCAAGTAGAGAAGCGGACTGGCCCAGGCGAAACCTGGTGAGAAAACACACAAATTGATGCCAAGATCTCTCAATAAAAAGGTCCGGAAGGGGCTACCCAAAAAATATATCACTGGAGTTGGTTCTAACCCAGTCAATGGCCGAAGTCGCCGGTTATAAGGATGTGGGTGGAGGAGCAGTAAGACCGAAGATAGTGAAGTTGGTTTAGAAAAGCCTGTGCCTGTGTCTGGTCGCTGGTTGGGGAGCGATAGATGAATCCTAGTAACAAGGAATCTCTTTTGG